TATCCCCTCAGGCCTCCCAGCCTGGACATCAAACACGTCATGGGTTTGTCTGAGCTGAAGAAAAAAATTCCAGAAGCTGCATTTGGGAAAAAAAATTACACCAAGAACGAAGGTGGGTGTGAAAACCCCATTCCCAGAGCCCCCAGAAATTCCATGGAAAATCCCATGGAAAATCCCATGGAAAATCCCCATTGAAAATCCCATGGAAAATCCCAATGGAAAATCCCCATGGGAAATTCAAAATGGGAAATCCCATGGAAAATCCCATGGAAAATCCCATGGAAAATCCCATGGAAAATCCCCATGGAAAATCCCATGGAAAATCCCATGGAAAAATCCCATTGAAAATCCCCATGGAAAATCCCACTGAAAATCCCCATTGAAAATCCCATGGAATATCTCCATGGAAAATCCCCATGGAAAATTCCCATGGAAAATCCCCATTGAAAATCCCCATGGAAAATCCATGGAAAATCCCCATGGAAAGTCCCATGGGAAATCCCATGGAAAATCCCCATGGAAAATCCCATGGAAAATCGAATATCCCCATGGAAAATCCATGGAAAATCCCCATGGAAAATCCCATGGAAAATCCGCATGGAAAATCCCCATGAAAAATCCTCATGGAAAATCCCCATGGAAAATCCCCATGGAAAATCGAATATCCCCATGGGAAATCCCATGGAAAATCCAAGGAAAATCCCATGGAAAATCTCCATGGAAAATCCCAATGGAAATTCGAATATCCCCATTTAAAATCCCATGGAAAATCCCCATGGAAAATCCCATTGAAAATCCCCATGGAAAATCCCCACGGAAAATCCCATGGAAAATCCATGGAAAATCAAATATCCCCATGGAAAATCCATGGAAAATCCTATGGAAAATCCATGGAAAATCGAATATCCCCATGGGAAATCCCCATGGAAAATCCTATGGAAAATCCATGGAAAATCGAATATCCCCATGGAAAATCCCCATGGAAAATCCCATGGAAAATCCCATGGAAAATCCCAATGGAAATTCGAATATCCCCATGGAAAATCCCATGGAAAATCCCCATGGGAAATTCAAAATGGGAAATCCCATGGAAAAACTCCATGGAAAATCCCCATGGGAAATCCCCATGGAAAATCCCCATGGGAAATCCCCATGGAAAATCCATGGAAAATCGAATATCCCCATGGAAAATCCCCATGGAAAATCCTATGGAAAATCCATGGAAAATCGAATATCCCCATGGAAAA